CCAGAATTCTTTAGCCAGCATGGCTGGCTCGGGAATTCTGGGAGTTGAAATCCACGAGTTATAAAAGAGCCGAGGTTGCCTGGTCCAGAAGGGAGTGGAGTTGGTGAGTCCTCCTCCTCCTCTTCCTCCTCTTCCTCCTCCTCCTCCTCCTTCCACAAACCCTACTCCCTAACTCCCTCTCCCATCTAGCCCTGATGCTGTTCCCTAGTTGGGTCATGAAACGTCTGCAAGGAAACCACCCAGCTCAGAGAGCAACAAGGACCTAACAACTCCTGGCTGCCTTGCAACTCCCTTTGGGGCACCATTCCCAGAAATCCCAGAATCCCTTTCGGGTTCTTCCCGTGAAACGTTGGCCTCCTCCTTCCTTCCGCAGGAATGTCTTATTTTCAGAAGAGGAAATAAAACAGCCAAGACGGTGAAATCACAACCAGCAAACTTCACTGCAGCCGAAGGCTCCGAATCGCTCCGGTGTGTCCCGCCAATCCAGAAGAGACGCTTTGCTGCAAGAATCAGTCGGTGAAGTTCCTGCTTGTGAGTCAGAAAAGAGAAAGGCAGAAAGAAAAGAAAAAAACAAAACAAAACGGGGGGGAAAAAAATAATAATTAAAAAAAAAAAAAGAGGAAACCCAAGCGCCGTTTAACCTGCAACTCTTGAGGGCTGCCGTTGAGGGGGGAGTGGGGGAAGAAACAGCTTTCCGAATGGACTGGCTTTGGAGGAAAGAAAAGAAAAAACCAAGAGAGAGAGAGAGAGAAAACGAGAAGAAAATGAGAAGAAAAAAAAAGGAAAATAATAACAATAAAAAAAAAGTTTTTTAAAAAAAGTCCACCCAAACACGAAACCATCCACAGCTAATTTGCTTGGCCTAACAAGAAGTGTCAAGGGGGGGGGGAGAAACACCAAAACCCCCAGTAATAATAAAAAAAAAGGAGGAGGGAGAGTGGGGGAGCAACGAAAAATTTAATTTCTGTGAAATGAAAAAGAATCCGTAGAGAGGGGGGTGGGGTTTAAAACGCGACCCACACCGGGAGTTGGCCTACCCTGCAGGGTCGGTAGCAAGAAACACTTCTTTGGTTTGTTTGGGGCCAGTTCATTTCCCAGGGCTGGAAGGAGACCCCCCCCTCACCTGCCCCCAAAAAGGAAAGATTGCTAGAAGCCGGAAGCTGAAGACCCTCTCCCCATTTTGGTTGGGTGGGTAGGACGAGGCTGCGGTTCTCCTCCTTTCCACCCAGAAGGAAAGACGGGAAGATCCGGCTGTCTTTCCGTGCCCATCAACGTGCTGGCTTCTTTCGAGAAAACTCTTATAATATATATTTTATATATATATATATACATACATACATACACACATCTATATTTCTTTTCTTTCAGCCGATTTTTGGTTTTGGGTGTTTCTTTTTTTTTTGTTGTTTTGTTTTGTTTTTTGTTTGTTTGTTTTTTTCCTGAGAATCTGGTTTTAATCGGTTTGGGGATGACTTTTTTTTTTTTTTTTTAAACAGCAGGAGGGGGAAAGGGCTTCCGGAGAGATTTGTGGCGAGGGGGGCAGGCAGATTATTTTGTGAAAAAGATCCGGCGCCGGGATTCGAACGCGAAGGCAGGAAGAGGGTTGGGTGGGGGGTCCCGTTCTGTCTGGTGGGGGGAGGAGGAGAGCAGCCTTCTCGAGAACCAGGGGCGAAAAGAGCCCCCCCCCAAACAAAAAAAAAAGAAATAAAAAACGGACAAAACAGTTGAACGCTAGTCGTCTCCGGCACCTTTTTGTCGCGCGCTCGCCCAGGATCGGGCGGGTTCCCCCCCCCCCCGTGTGAAAAGGTAAGAGGGTTCCACTTTCTCTTGCGGTTCTTTTGCGCGATCGGCTGCCGGTTTTATCGTTGTGGCTTCGGGTTGCGGTCTTTGTCTTTCTCTCGGCTGCGTCAAGTGACGGCTCCCGATGGAGAGGTTGGAAAAGCCATTGTAGCTGAGTCGGTTTCCGGCTCAGCCCTGGATGGAAGCATTTCGTGACCCAACTAGGTAACATCATCAGGGCTAGAAGGGAGAGGGGTTTGCATGGTGGAGGCTTCCCCTGCTCCAAGAGTAAAGAACAGTGTAATCAAGGAAGCAGCAAAAAGACTCCCGTGTACACGGAGAGGGCCAGCCACTTGCAGAGAAAGACAGAGCAGATCCCACTCTAGGCGTGGATGGTGTTACCTAGTTGGGTCATGAAACATCTGCAAGAAAACCACCCAGCTCAGAGAGCACCAAGGAGTCCACATTTTAACCCAAATCCACAAATATACTCCATCAACCAAGTCAATTTAACCAGAAAGCATTAGTGCAGCGGTTCTCAACCTGTGGATTGGGACCCCATTTGGGGTCGAACGACCATTTCACGGGGGTCGCCAAACAACGCAGTCCGCCATTTTTTTCCCCCTTTTCCTTAGCTGTGCTACTCCCTTTTATTCTATTGGCTTTTGAAAGCCAATAGAATAGACTCTCTTGAATAGAGTCTCAATTCTATTGGCTTTCAAAAGCCAATAGGAATTGTCCAGGCTGTCTCTGCCCTGCTGAGCCCGCCAAAAGTCCCATCTGCAAACGGTGCTGCAAGTTGTCTGCAGCGAAGGCGAGCTGTCTGGAAGCTTCCACCCCTCCCTGCTGAGCAACTACTAACAATGTAAGGAAAAGAGGGCCAGGGGTGGGAGGTGGGAGGCCGGCGGGCGCAGGGAGGGTTGCTGGCGCGCATGGGGCCCCGCGGGTGCCTTAGCTCCCTTGGGCTGGGCCAGCTGGTGGCCCAGCCGGTGGTCGGCCTGCACTGTCTCTGCCGCTTGCCAGCTACGCCTCGGCCGGCGCAGGGGGCGGCACCACGCATGCGTGGCGCTCCCGGGCAGGGAAAGTCCTCGACTTAATGACCGGTTGGGTAGTCCTCGACTTACGACCGGTTGGGGGGGGTCGCAGCATTAAAAAGGTTGAGAACCACTGCATTAGTGGGATCAGAAACACCATTCCTTGGGAAATAAAGACGAGAATTTAGCCACCTCTGAAAGGCTTTCCAAACAGGACCCTCCATTCCTTTAATTTGGAAAATTCTTCTATCGGCTTACTCATCCGATAGAAACTGCAGGTGGGGCTCTGCAGGTCTGGAAAAACGCCACTGGCGCAAAGATTCAGTCACCAACGGGGCTGCTCCGTTTCCATCTGCCCTGACCCACAAAAAAAAAAAGAAAAAAAAAGTCCTTGGGATGCTTCAGGGAAGTGAAGACATCTTGACAGCAGTGTGAAGACGAAATAGTTCAACCTTGAGCAACTTGGCTGTTACCTCAAGCTGGAAACTAGAATGGCAGAGTCGGAAGGGACCTTGGAGATCTTCTAGTCCAACCCCCTGCTAAAGCAGGAGACCCTGGACCCAAACTTGCAACTGTATATAGACTTGTGGACTTCAACTTACGACTCTTGTTCACAGTTACAATCTTGGCAGCCTCCCTGTGGTCACGTGATCAAAATTCGCCCGCTTGGCCATTGGTTCATAGGTATGACGGTCGCAGCTTCCCGGGATCACGTGATTCTTTTTGGCGACCTGATAAGCAGTGAGGGAAGCCCGATTCACTTAACAGCCTAACAGTTGCACTGATTCACTTAACAACCGCGGGGAGAAAACTCACTGAATCTCACTTAGTGACAGAACGTTTGGGCTGAATTGTGGCTGTAAGCCGAGAACGGTCTGCAATTCACAAACTCTCCTGGTTTTCCAACGGAATCAGCCAGCCAAACTCTTGTCTCGGGATCCTTCTGAGATCACGGGCACTGTTTTGCACCCAGCGCCAAACCCTGGATCCCACCGATGAAAGAATCGGCCTTTGACACACTGGTTGGATAAAGCTTTTTATTCAAATATTCCGCTTAAAACGATTCGCCCAACAATTCCTTGGGGACTTGGGAATCTTCGGTCTATTCCCATTTCCTTCCTTCCAAACCAAAGGACGATTTGGGGGTACAGAGAAAAGGGGTGGGATGGGCTCAAATGAAACCACTTTTACTCCATTTGGGGGTGGGGGATTTTCAAGTTTTGGGAAGCTCCCGCTTTAGGGAAGAGGCTACAGGGAATTGCCCTGCCGGAATGAAAAGAATAAAAAAACTCAAAAATTCCTCCTGTCGGAAAAAGGGGCTGCCAAATTGACTTGCTCCTCTTAACAATCTCCGGGTAGTCCTCGGACTTACAGCAGTTTGTTTAGTGACCATTCAAAGTTACATCAACATGGAGAAGAGCGACGACAACTGTTTTTTTGCACCTGTGACCAGTAGCGGCACCCCCGGGGGTCACGTGATCAAAATTCGGAGGCTCGGCAACTGGCGTGTACTTCTGTCGGTTGCCGCGCCCCAGAGGGTCACGTGATCCTCTTTTGCAACTTTCTGACAAGCCAAGTCAAATGGGGAGGAAGCCGGATTCACTTTATAACAGGGTTACTAAGTTAACAGCTGCAGTGATTCGCTTAACAACCGGGGCAAAAAATGGTTGCAAAATGAGGCAAACCTCACTTGGTTTGTCTCGCTTAGCAACAAATGTTGGGCTCAGTTATATCCTAACCATCATACCAACTAGACCAGGGATAGACAACCTTGGTTCTTTTATTATTCGTGGACTTCAACTCCCAGAATTCCTGAGCCAGCGTGGGGGAACTATGGCCCCCTCATGACTCTGGACTTCAACTCCCAGAATTCCTGAGCCACCATGAGGGAACTATGGCCCCATCATGACTTGCGGACTTCAACTCCCAGAATTCCTGAGCCAGCATGGGGGACCTATGACCCCCTCATGACTTGTGGACTTCAACTCCCAGAATTCCTGAGCCAGCATGGGAGAACTATGGCCCCCTCATGACTGGTGGACTTCAACTCCCAGAATTCCTGAGCCAGCATGAGGGAACTATGCCCCCTTCATGACTCACGGACTTCAACTCCCAGAATTCCTCAGCCAGCATGAGGGAACTATGGCCCCCTCATGACTCGTGGACTTCAACTCCCAGAATTCCTCAGCCAGCATGGCTCAGCTTGGAAACCTCTCCCTTTCCCCTCAGCACGGCTGGCTCAGGAATTCTGGGAGTTGAAGTCCACCAGTCATAAAAGAGCCAAGGTTGCCTACCCCTGAACTAGATGGTTGCTCTTAAACCGGAACCTCTAGGGCAGTGTTTCTCAACCTTGACAATTTTAAGGCATGTGAACTTCAACTCCCAGAATTCCACAGCCAGCAATGCTGGCTGTGGAATTCTGGGAGTTGAAGTCCACATGCCTTAAAATTGTCAAGGTTGAGAAACACTGCTCTAGGGGAAAGGGTTCCAAAATAGGGATGAGTCAGGAGGACACGATGGCGCAGGGTCTGCTTGAGCAGGGGGTTGGACTAGAAGGCCTCTGAGGTCCCTCCCAGCCCTAGGATTTTATGGAACACCTTCTAAGAGGGAACTTAAAAAACGCAGCCACAGCCTTGAAAGGCTCTGGGGTTCTGGATCCTGGGAATTTTTAAACCACGGTCCTCTTTCTTTTCAAAGTTGCCTTGTCCTTGTGCCAACTTCTCCGTTGAGGATATTTTCCGCTTAAAAAGATAAAACATTTTGAGTCGTGAAGGCTTCTGTGTTTCGTTGCGATGGACACAATGGCGGAAGGGCCGAGAATAAGGAGGGGTGGGAGACGGTCCTCATTTCGGCTGCCAGGTTTTTTTCCTTCTCCGGGGCCCAAACCTACAAACCAGCAGGGACCCCAAAACTCTTAATCCCGGTCTTCTAGCCGTCAGTCCTGGCGAGAAAGCGGGAGCGCGTTTCTTCCGAACCGAAGCCAGGTTTGGTTCAGAGTTCAAGTTTTTCTTTCCATGTTGACCCCAAACGACGACTCCTGGCTTCTCTCCTTTTTTGCAGCAGGAGAGACTGCCCAGCCCTCCTCCTCTTCTAAGTGACCTCTGGGGTGCCCATGGACTTCCCTAAAACAGGCTCCGCGTGTCACGGGGAGCCATTTCCTTGGAAGGGGTTTGCGACCCCTTCCCGTCAGGCCGATTAGAGACGGTCCTGGCTGTCCAAATCCCACCGGATGGGGTCTTTGAGGAAGGGGAGGGGCTGGTCCGCTGGCGTCTCACTGCTGCATGCTGTTGCCCCCGGTCTGCATTTCCCAGCTGCTGGGTCCCCCCGGCTCCAGCTGGGCGACCTGCATGCCTTGCTGGTTTTGCCAGAGCTGATGCAGTTCTTTGAATTGCGAAACCATCTTGTCCTTGAGGTCCGGGTGCGAGATCTGCAGGCGGACGCTGTCGGCCGACCAGGACAACTCTCCGGAAAACATTTCCAAAAGGAGCCGGGCGGCTACGGGGACCACCTGTGGGGGAGACGGGGAGGAGAGCTTTTCTCAGCTGGCGTTCTCCGCAACCCCAGAATCCCCCCCAGCCAGGAGGATTCTGGGAGTTGGAAGTTCAAACCCTTTAAAGCAGCCGAGTCTGAAAAGTATTGCGCTTAAAGATTTTGATGCCCCAAGGGAGGGGTCTTCAACCTTGGCAACTTTAAGACTTGTGGACTTCAACTTCCAGAATTCCTGAGCCAGCATGGCTCAGCTTGGAAACCTCTCCCTTTCCCCTCAGCGTGGCTGGCTCAGGAATTCTGGGAATTGAAGTCCACGAGTCATAAAAGAGCCAAGGTTGCCTGCCCCTGTCCTAAGTCCTCCTCTTCTAAGTGGTGAGCCTCCTAAACCAGGGGTCAGCTCTTTTATGACGTGGACTTCAATTCCCAGAATTCCTGAGCCAGCATGAGGGAAACTTTGGCCCCCTCATGACTTGTGGACTTCAACTCCCAGAATTCCTGAGCCAGCATGGCTCAGCTTGGAAACCTCTCCCTTTCCCCTGAGCAGGGCTGACTCAGGAATTCTGGGAGTTGAAGTCCACCAGTCATAAAAGAGCCATGGTTGCCTAGCCCTGCCGCAAGTGTGTTCGAGTTACACATCTGGCCTCGAGTCTGCCAGGGCCTTTTTTCAGCCGGCGGATTTGATTAAAAGGCAGCCAATGTTGTGAATGACAGCTCAGTTCCTCTCTTCCCATTTGCTCAAGTCTACTTCAGGCAGTCCTCGACTTTACGACGGTTCATTTAGTGCCCTGTTTTACAACCTTGCTTGCTTCAGTTGTGGAAACACCGCAGTTCTTAAGATGTTAACTCAGTAACACGGTCGTTAAGCGAATCCTGCTTCCCCCATCGACTCAGCTGGTCAGAAAGTCGCAAAAGGGGATCGCGTGACCCCCCCGGGGACACTGCGACCGTCAGCCAAGCGTCGGAATTTTGATCATGTGGCCCTTGGGGGATGCTGCAACGGTCCTAAGTGTGAAACATGTTAAGTCACTTTTTCACCACCGTCGTAACTTGGAACGGTCACTAAATGAACTGTTGTAAGTCAAGGACTGCCTGTAACCGTAAACTTGCCAAAATGCCAGCGGACTTCGGACTTTTTACCTAACGCAGGTCTCGCAAAATAAACCCACCTGGACCGTGATGAGTTTTTTCTCCTTGGGCTTCCGATCGGGCCATTCTTCCCCAAAGCAGAAGAATATCTCGTAGGGAGGCGGTGTCGGGCTCTGGCCTTTCTGGAACAGAATGAGTCCTGCAGGAAGGGAAAAATTAAAATTTAAAAACATGTCCCAGTGAGAAAGGGGGGGGGGAAACAGAAGGCAAAATTGGGGAAAAAAATTGGGGGGAAAAATGTGCTTCCTAACTGTGAAATTTTGACACGGAGAGTCATGATTCCATCGCAGAGAGCTGGCTGAAATTGGACTTGTGGACTTCAACTCCCAGGATTCCTCAGCCATTCCATGCAGGCTGGGGGATTCTGGGAGTTGAAGTCCACAAGAATTCAAAGTTCCCAAGGTTGAAAGACACCTGGCTACTTTAAGACTTGTGGACTTCAACTCCCAGGATTCCTCAGCCATTCCATGCGGGCTGGGGGATTCTGGGAGTTGAAGTCCACAAGTCTTAAAAGTCACCCAGGTATGAAACACCGTTCTAACACCACACGGTCTTGTCTACGACTCTTGAAAGCCTGTCAACGCAAAACCAACATCTTCTCCACCCTGAAGGAGAATCTCCATTCCCCAACTCTCCCTCCTGACTGTCTCCGAGGTGGGGTGAAACTACAAAGCCCATCCTCCTCTTCCCAGCAGCCCCGACACCCGGATGAAGACCCTCGTCTCACCGTTGAGGAAATTCTCCAGGCTGAAAAGCTTGACCTTCTTCTCCCGCTCGATAGGGTTGGGCCCGGGCAGCTGTCCGGCACACGGGCCGGTCCAGAAGACTTTGCATTGGCACAAGCGGATGGCGTAAATGTCCTGGCCTTGCAGCTCCAGGATCAGACCCCGGTCCAGGACGTCGAGTAGCTGGTGGGTGTAGTAGCGCTGCTTCTCGTTGGGGACGGCCTCGGCGCTGGGGAAGCGGACCTGCTCCAGCGTCACCGGGCCGAAGAGTTCTACCTGCTCCTGGGTGGGCTCCAGGTGGCTGTGGAAGAGGCGGCAGCCCTGGGGGTTGCTGATGGTCAGGGCCCCCACCGGACGTCCGCGGTACTGGAATTTGATCTCCAGGTCGGTCACTGGCGGGGGAAGAGGCGGCATTTGGTGCAAATGTGACAGCTGAAGTGGGTCATGTGAATGCAGGCAACAGAGCACCCCACTTCCCATCTCCCATCTCCCCATTCCCATGGTGCACGCCCCTAAAAGTGCTTACGTGGCAGCATGTGAGGGCTGATCAATAAATTCGGGATGAACTGCTCCACGGGCGCTACCGGACACTCCCCCGGGGGCAGAGGCGCCAGGCCGCCTGGCATGGACATGTTCTCCGGCACCAGCGACATCCGGCTCGCAGATTCGGCAAAGCTGGGCACCGGAGGCTCCCCTCCTACTGCGAAGGCCCCCACGGGCGCCGGTGCCGGGGGTACAGGCCCCACCTCCAAGTGAGGGAAGGTCCCCTTGGCGCACGGGTTGGCGTAGAGGTTCTCTTGCTTGAGCCACGGGTAGGGGGGCAGGGGTTCTGCCACGTGCGACGGATCTGGAAGGAGAGAACCGGACACTGTAGGAAACTGGGTCAAAAGGGAAGGATTGCAAGGGGGTCGTTTCCATAATGGGGGCGGGGCGGTCCGAAGGCAGCTCTCTTTTTTGGCGTGATTTATATCCCATCTTTGTTACTATATGAGGAACTCAACATACGTTAATTCTTTTTCCTGTTTTCCCCTTAACAACGACCCTATGAGGTAGGCTGGTCTGGGAGAAAGGAACTGGACCAAATCACCTAGCTGGTTTTCACGCCTAAGGCAGGACTAGAAATCGCCGTCTCCTGGTGATTGGCCCAAAGTCACCCAGTCAGCTTTCATGCCTAAGGCAGGACTAGAACTCACCGTCGCCTGGTGATTGTCCCAAAGTCACCCAGCTGACTTTCATTCCAAACTTGGGACTAGAACTCACTGTCGCCTGGTGATTGTCCCAAAGTCACCCAGCTGATTTTCATTCCAAACTTGGGACTAGAACTCACTGTCGCCTGGTGATTGTCCCAAAGTCACCCAGCTGACTTTCATTCCAAACTTGGGACTAGAACTCACTGTCGCCTGGTGATTGTCCTAAAGTCACCCAGCTGACTTTCATTCCAAACTTGGGACTAGAACTCCCCGTCGCCTGGTGATTGTCCCAAAGTCACCCAGCTGACTTTCATTCCAAAGGCGGGACTAGAACTCACCGTCGCCTGGTGATTGTCCCAAAGTCACCCAGCTGACTTTCATTCCAAACTTGGGACTAGAACTCCCCGTCGCCTGGTGATTGTCCCAAAGTCACCCAGCTGACTTTCATTCCAAAGGCGGGACTAGAACTCACCGTCGCCTGGTGATTGGCCCAAAGTCACCCAGTCAGCTTTCATGTCTAAAGTGGGACTAGAATTCACTGTCTCCTGGTGAATTGGCCCAAAGTCACCCAGCCGGCTTTCATGTCTAAAGTGGGACTAGAACTCACCGTCGCCTGGTGATTGGCCCAAAGTCACCCAGTCAGCTTTCATGTCTAAGGCGGCACTAGAACTCGCGGTGTCCTGGTGATTGGCCCAAAGTCACCTAGGTAGCTTTCATGCTTAAAGTGGGACTAGAACTCACCGTCTCCTGGTTTCTAGGCCAGCATCCTAACCACTACACGAAACTGGCTCTTCTTTAGAAAGACGTTGGAGCCCTGCCCCTCCCTCCAGGCTGCCCCCCCGCCCTCTTCTGGGGGCCGCCAAGAACCCACCTGCGATTCTCAAGGTGGGCATCATTTTCTGCAGCTGCAATCAAAGGAAAAAGCAAAATCAGTGACGGGAAACGGAAGACGTCCCACCTGGAGAAGCGGTCGAGCTGGCGGGGCAGAGCGCCTGACCCAGGCAGGGGCTGAAGGCAAAGCAAAGGGGCTGCTCCACTTCTTAGCCCTGGAATGGAGCACCCATGCACAAGATAGGTCTACCATGCTGAGGGAGGAAAGCTGCGGTGGGGTGAGGGGCCTTTTGCCAATTTAGAAATCAACCCATCTCTCTCCCTCTGCCCCCCCCCTCCCTCATCTATCCATCCCATTTGGGAAGGCATTGATTAATGTATAAGTAAAAAATTAAAAAAATAATTTAAATCAAATTATTTAAATTTTAAGTAAAATATAAATGTAAGTACATTTCTTTATATTATTTCCCAATTTTTATTTATACATTTATGAATGCATTCCCCAATGGGATTAGATGAGAGACGGGGGGGGGAGGGAGGGAGGGCGAGAGGGGAGGAGAGATAGAGAGAGGGAAGGAGGGAGAGGGAGGGAAGGAGGGAGAGGAAGGAAGAAAGGGAAGGAGGGAGAAAGGGAGAGAGGGGAGGAAGGAAGAAGAGAGAGAGGGAAGGGGAGGGAGGGAGGGAGGGAGAGGGAAAGAAAGGGAGAGAAAGGGAGGGAGCGAGGAAGGGAGGGGGAGAGGGAGAGAGGGGAATAAGGAGAGGGAGGGAGGGCGAGAGGAGAGGAGAGATAGAGAGAGGGAAGGAGGGAGAGGGAGGAAGGAGAGAGGGAGGGAGAGGGAGGGAAGGAGGGAGAGGAAGGAAGAAAGGGAAGGAGGGAGAAAGGGAGAGAGGGGAGGAAGGAAGAAGAGAGAGAGAGGGAAGGGGAGGGAGGGAGGGAGGGAGAGGGAGAGAAAGGGAGGAGGGAGGGAGAGGGAGGGAGGGAGAGGGAGAGAAAAGGAGAGAGAAAGGGAGGGAGCGAGGGAGGAAGGGAGGGAGGGAGAGGGAGAGAGGGGGAATAAGGAGAGGGAGGGAGGGCGAGAGGGAGAGAGAGGTTTCTAAATCGGCCAAAGGACTACCGTATATGTCGTACAAGGCGACCCGGCGTATAAGACGACCCCCGTCTTTGTCGCTGAGTCGCATTCCTAGAACGTCATCTTATACGCCGGAAACTACCAGTATTTCCGGCGTATAAGACGATCCCCGTCTTTGGCGCCGATTTTAACGCTTGCGGAAGTCGCCTTATACGCCGGCATATACGGTACATCAAACTTCATGTCTTTCAACTCTGGCTTCCCATTTCTAGCAGATAAATCCGTTCATTTAAATGTATTTTTATTGAAATAAAAATTTGTAACTATTTAAATAAATAAATTCAAATAAATGCATTTATCTACCTCTATCTTTCTAGCTGTCCGTCTCTATTTACCTACTGATCCAGCCTATGTATTTATCCTCTCTCTCTCCCTCCCTCTCTCTCTAATCTCCATCTCCATCACCCTCTCTCCAGCCTCTCTATGGATCCTCCCTCCCTCCCTCCCTCCCTCCCTCCCTCCCTCAATCTTGATCTATATCATCTCTCTCTCTCTCATTTTGGAACCACCCGTTTCCCGCACAGAGGGATTCTGGGCGGTGTACAAAAATATAATACTAAATAAATAAATAAAAAAAAACAGATCCAAGATTAGAGCCAAACCCAGGCGACCTGGAGTTTAGCTCCAACAACAGAGGGGAACTCTTAAGCATGCTGGTTTGAAGGTGGTTTGCAGAGTGCTAAACACAGCAGGAACCCAACCGGGGAATCTTTCCTCTCGTGACACCAGCCGAGCCCGGCACAGAAGATCCTACCCGCACATCTAATGGACGCCCATCTATATTCTTGTGCTATTTTCCACACGGAGTGCAAAAAACAAAACCCAACCCCCATAGATCTGCCCCAAAGAAGGCTAGGAAGACCCCAGATCTCACCTCTTCCTCTTCTTCACATCCCACCAGCTCTTCTCCAGCAAAGCTCTCTGAAGACAAAAACAGAGGATTACGGAGCGTTCTTCCGAGTTTGACATTGTCGTAAGGGTTGCAGGTGTGTTGTCTCCTGAGCCCAGGGGTCCTCACAAACGTTAAGGACAAGGACTGGAGACTTCCCCACGTGGTTTCCCGGTTAGTTGCCACCTGATGCTTGCCTGGGCTTCGCAGCTATGCGGTGACAGGCTGCCACGAACTGTGGGGAGCGAGAAGGAAGGGCGGGATACTTGGGGAAACGGAAGTAAATGCTGTATCGGCTCGAGATGCTGCCTCAAGGCCTCCCGGCTGGGAGAAGGAAGGCGCCGCATACCAAACAGCACGCTTGGACTGACCGCAATGGAGACATTTTGCCTGATCCTGGTTGGTTACAGCGAGGCAGACAAGGTGAGAAAGTGAAGGGAGGGAAAAGTCGAACTTGGGGATTTCGGCACGCGATTCTCAGTTCTGGTTGTGCAACGCTGCAACACACGTGACCTCTAATAAACTAAACTTCCATAGCTCAACACACGGGGCCAAGGATCGTTCCTATTTAGAGATTTGGGTTGTGGCAGGTCTGACAGTCCCTCCCTTCCTCCCCACATCACCAGCCAGCATGAGAACAGCCCCCAAGGCCTCTCTCGAACCCGGAATCCCAGATGAAGGATGAGGCGAGTTTTAACAAGTGGCCAGGTGCTTCCCCCCCCCCAAGGCAACTGGACGTGGTTTGGTTTTCTCTTGAACAGCTTTCGCTTCTCATCCAAGAAGCCTCTTCAGTTCTAGCAGTTTGTGCAGAATAACAACAACAACAACAACAATAATAAAGTTGGAAGGGACCTTGGAGGTCATCTAGTCCAACCCCCTGCTCAGGCAGGAAACCCTATACCAGGGGTAGGCAACCTTGGCTCTTTTATGACTCGTGGACTTCAACTCCCAGAATTCCTGAGCCAGCATGAGGGAACTATGGCCCCTTCATGACTCGTGGACTTCAACTCCCAGAATTTCTGAGCCAGCATGGCTCAGCTTGGAAACCTCTTCCTTTCCCCTCAGCATGGCTGGCTCAGGAATTCTGGGAGTTGAAGTCCATAAGACATAAAAGAGCCAAGGCTGCCTACCCCCTGCTCTATACCATTTCAGACAAATGACTGTCCAGTCTCTTCTTAAAACCCTCCAGTGTTGGAGCATTCACCGCTTCTGGAGGCAGGTAGTTCCACTGGTTAATTGTTCTAACTGTCAGGAAGTTTCTCCTTAATTCTAGGTTGCTTCTCTCCTTGATTAGATTCCACCCGTTGCTTCTTGTCCTGCCTTCAGGCGCTTTGGAGAATAGCTTGACTGCCTCTTCTTTGGGGCAGCCCCTGAGATATTGGAACACTGCTATCATGTCCCCCCTCGTCCTTCATTAAACTAGATATACCCAATTCTTTATATGTTTTAGCCTCCAGTCCCCTGATCCTCTTTGTAGCTCTTCTCTGCACTCTTTCTAGAGTCTCAGCATCTTTTTTACATCGTGGTGACCAAAACTGGATGTCGAATTCCAAGTGTGGCTTACCAAGGCCTTGTAAAGTGGTATTAACACTTCACGTGATCTTGATTCTATCCCTCTGTTGATGCAGCCCAGCAGAACTAAAGAAGCTTTTCGGATGAGAAGTGAGACCCCTTCAAGGCAAAAATAAAAACCAAGAGAGTCCAGCTGCCTTTAAGAAAAAGCACTTTGGGGAAGTGGCTGTGAACACAGGTGGGCTGACCCACCTGTCGCAGCTCACCTCTGACTTCGGGCGAGGATTTTGCACGGAAGATGCACCCCGGTGAAAGGACACAGAAAAAAACAAGAAGTAAAAGTGCCCCCCCCCCTCAGCTCAGCTGCTCCTCGATCCTCTTTTGAACATGAATTTAGAAAGAGCCCAAATAACTGCCCCTTTTGAGAGGGGGTTTAGCCCTCTTTTTTACGTACGACCACAATTGAGCTGAGACGACGGCTAAGTGAGTTTTGCCCCGTTTTACGACCTTTCCTGCCACGGCTGTGAGGTGAATCACTGCAGTTGTTAAGTTACTAACGCCGTCGTAAAGCGAATTGGGCTTCCCCGTTGACTTTGCTCATCGGGAGGTCGCAAAAGGGGATCACGTGACTCCGGGACCGTCATAAAGATGAGTCAGTTGCATCACGTGACTCTGGGGAACGCCGCAAAGGCCGTATGTGTGAGGAACAGTCGTGTCCCCTTTTTTCCCGGTACCGTTGTAACTCTGAACGGTCACTAAACGAACGGTTGTAAGTTGAGGACTAACTGAATCAGCCCTTCGATTGGGCCGTGGATAATAAAATGCTGCCTGGTTTCCAGTCCAGAAAGGAAAGGAAGGGAGGAAAGGAATGTTAGACCAGTGTTTCTCAACCTTGACCATTTTAAGGCCTGTGGACTTCAACTCCCAGAATTCCACAGCCAGCAATGCTGGCTGTGGAATTCTGGGAGTTGAAGTCCACAGGCCTTAAAATGGTCAAGGTTGAGAAACACTGTGTTAGACCGAGAGGGAATCCCTGGGTGGGAGTTTTGCGGCAGCCATTTTGTCTGTTTTGATTTCTGAAAGGCTGCAGGGGATGGGAGAGGCCGAAGCGGTCGGGAAGGAGAACGGCCTGCGCCTCTATTGGAGAGCCTGGATCAAGCCGAAAGAGGAAGAAGAAGGCCTGGCAGGTTTCATAGCTCTTTCAGAACTTGCCCAACGTGTCTGAGCAGACAATAATGAGCAGAGGAGAGAGGAGGAGGAGGAAAGAGAGAAGAGAAGAAAGAAAGGAAAGAAGAAAAGAAAGAAAGGAAAGAAGAAAAGAGAAGAAAAGAAAAAAAGAAAGAAAAAGAAAGGAAGGAAGGAAGGAAGGAAGGAAGAAGGAAGGAAGAGAGAAAGGAAAGAAGAAAAAGAAAGGAAAGAAAAAAAGAAAGAAAAAGGAAGAAAGAAAAAAGAAAAGGAAGAAAGAAGGAAGGAAGGAAGAGGGAGGAAGGGAGGGAGGGAGGAAGGAAGGAGAAAAAAGAAGGGAGGAAGGAGAGAAGGAAAAGAAGGAGAAGGGGGAAGAAAGAGGGAAGAGAAAGGGAGAAGAGAATAGGAAAGGGAAGAAAAGGGAGGGAAGAAAGGAAGGAAGGAAGGAAGGAAGGAAGAGGGCTGGAAGGGAGGGAGGGAGGGAGGAAGACAGAGAAAGGAGGTGAAGGAGAGGAGAAGGAAAAGAGAGGAGAGGAGAAGAGAGAAGAGAGGAGAGAGGCGGTATGTGTGTGTGCTATGAGCATAACTTCCATGCAGGAATCTCTGCAACCTTTTGGGTGTGTGGGTGGAGAGGACCTCTTGTGGTGGGGCAGCGTAGAATCCACGGGTCCCCATATACGCCCAGTTGGGGGACAAAGCCACGAAATGGCAAAAGCAGCGGGTACCTCCGTTGGGCAGGGGTGCATCGCAGACCTCGTAAATCTTGTAGGGCTGCATGGGCGTGTCCTTGGTCCCGTCGTAGATCAGGCTGAACTCCCGGCTTTTGTTGAGGGCGCAACGCAGGTTGGCCTTCCACTTGGCCGGATCCGGCTCGTCCACGCCCTCGTTGTATTTGCCCGTCTCTTTGGCCCAGGCCTGTCCGTGTGAGAAAGAAAGTTGAAGTCCTTCTGTCATTGTGTTGTTGTGATTCTTGGCCAGTCTAAAATGTCATGAAAATCTCCACTCTCACCACTTCTGTCTCCCTTCCTCACAAAAGATGACCCAAGGAGTCAACTTAAACCTTGGCAGTTCCTCTTCCACGCCACACACCCCCCCCCGCCAAAGTTGTGCCCAGCCAACTTGAACCCCAGCCTGCCCTCTTTCCCCCTGGGGTCACCTTAAAGATGGTGTTCTCGTCATCCTGGCAGGGCACGTGCCGAGTGGCGTGGCGCCAGGGGATGCAAAACCGCTTCTGCTCCGCGTCTACCCAGCGCAGACCCGGATACTGGCCGCTGTTCACCTGGGCCACCAGCCAGGGCTTCAGGCGGATGCGCCGCGGGTGGGGGTTCATGCTTCAGCCCCCCCCCCAACTCCCCCGTCAAAGGGCCTGGCCTGGAAGGAGAAACCAAGAAGTAATTAGAAACTGGAACCAAAATCTGGAAGCAGCAAATAGTGTCTTCCAAGGAACACACCGGCCAGGGGCGGTCCCGAAGGGTTCAGAGGCTGCAGTCCAGCTGCTGCGCTCAGCTGCCTCCCCCACCCCTCCAACAATGGGTGAGATTTCAAGGGGCTGGTTTGGGGGAGTCTCCATCCATCGGGACCCAGGAGAACCTCAATCGCCTGGACGCTTGGAAGGAAGGAGGGAAGGAAGCCACGATGGGACCATGGTTTGGATCGTAGGTTGACCCAGCTGCGGGAATGAGCGGCAAATTCCCTCCTTTTTGTTCAAGTGACCCATGACCTGCAGCACCCACAAAATTTGCTCCTCTACGGAAGACGACCAAGCAAATTAAAAGCACCCAATGCACACACACACACCCACCCACCCTCCAGCGTTTGGAAAAGTTTGAGAAACGAACCACTTAAGATTGGCGGATGACGTTGTTCTCTTCTCACGAGAGCTACAAAGACACAAGAACAGTGCAAAGCAGGATAACCCTTGGGCTTAATAAATACACCTGAAAAAGAGGCCAGGTCATGTTTAATCAATTCATTAAAGAAAGAAAGAAAAATTTATATCTGGAGAAGAACTAGACCAGTGGTTCTCAACCTTTTTAATGCCGCAACCCCCAACCGGTCATAAGTCGAGGACTTCCCAACCGGTTGTAAGTCGAGAACTACCCAACTGGTCGTAAGTCGAGGACTTTCCCTGCCTGGGAGCCCCATGCATGTGTGGTGCCGCCCCCTGCACCGGCCGAGGCATAGCTGGCAAGGGGCAGAGACGGCGCAGGGCGACCACCGGCTGGGCCACCAGCTGGCCCAGCCCAAGGGAGGTAAGGCATCCGCCGGGCCCCAGGCGTGCCAGCAACCCTCCCTGCACCCGCCGGCCTCCCATCTCCCACCCCTGGCCCTCTTTTCCTTACATTTTTAGTAGTTGCTCAGCAGGGAGGGGTGGAAACTTCCAGACTGCTCGCCTTTGCTGCAGACAACTTGCAGCACTGTTTGCAGAATGGGACTTTTGGCGGGCTCAGCAGGGCAGAGATAGCCTGGACAATTCCTATTGGCTTTTGAAAGCCAATAGAATTAGACTCTATTCAAGAGAGTCTATTCTGTTGGCTTTCAAAAGCCAATAGAATAAAAGGGAGGAGCACAGCTAAGGAAAAGGGGGGAAAAAATGGTGGACTGCGTTGTTTGGCGACCCCCGTGAAATGGCCGTTCGACCCCAAATGGGGTCCCGACCCACAGGTTGAGAACCGCTGAACTCGACGTAGTAGACTGCTACATATACGCTCAGCCAACGGATCTCGGGGGAAGGTGATACAATCAGGAAACTGAACAGCGTGTTAAATGTGGTTGGCAGGCATGCGGCAAGCTAGATGTTGTAGTCAAGAACAGCCTCCCCTGAAGCCCAAAAAGTTTTCGATCAGTGTGGTGCTACCTACTCTCTACATATGCCGACGAAACATGGACACTAACCTCACAATCGTAGCAAAAGCTACGTGTGTCACAAAGAGCCACGGAAAGAGGCCTGATCGGCATCACAAGACAAGATAGAACAGTGGTTCTCAACCTTTCTAATGCCGCGACCCCATAATACAGTTCCCCATGTTGTGGTGACCCCCAACCACTTATACATCACCGGGTGCCAGGGGCATGGCCAAAGAAAAGGGGGAAAAAATGGCGGACAGCCTTGTTTGGCGACCCCCGTGAAATGGTCGTTCGACCCCAAATGGGGTCCCGACCCACAGGTTGAGAACCACTGAGATAGAAAGACCCAACACCTGGTCCATGGACTTGTACCGGGCCGCGGCACGCCAGCAACCAGTCCGCACAAACAAGCAAAGCCTCATCCGTGGGATGGAGGCAGCACACAAAACTACACACCCTCCGGTCTGCGGAAAAAACTCTCTCCACAGAACCGGTGATCCCTGGTGTCCAAAAATCGGGAACCTCTGGATTAGAGGAGAAAGGAAAATATACAAGGCCATCAACTGAGTCAAAGAATTGCAAGGGAAACGGGCTGGTCTCCTAGCAGACTGAGGCCGTCATAAAACGGATCCCACTTGATCAAAAGTGGCCACGAAAGAGACCCAAAACGAGACGGAGTGACCACAGCAGCCAAATATGGCGAGGTCCAATTGGGAAAAGAAAGCCCGGGGCCGTTATTGGTTGGAGACAGGCGGAAGAAGCCTTCATCCTGCTGTGGTTAAACAATGGCTAGAATGAGGAGGGTGGATGACGATAAACGGACAAGCAAACATAATATTTTCTGCTACAACTCTTTCCAAATTGAGCCCCCCCGCCCAACTCGCTCACATGGCTCCTGCTTCCTAGAGGCTAGGAAAGGAATACAGGCGGTTTAGTAACCAAAGTTACAAGGGCGCTGAAAAATGTGACTTACGGCCAGGTTTTGCACTTAACGGCCGTTGAAGCGTCCCTAGGGCCACTTGATCAAAAATTCGGACACTTGGCAACTGGCATGTAAGGGGAAATTTCCTGACAGTTAGAACAATGAACCAGTGGAACTCCTTGCCTCCAGAAGCGGTGAATGCGCCAACACTGGAAGTTTTTAAGAAGAGACTGGACAGCCATTCATCTGAAATGGTATAGGATTTCCTGCCTGAGCAGGGGGTTGGACTAGAAGACCTCCAAGGTCCCTCCAAGGTCCCTTCCAACTTTATTATTATTATTATTATTATTATTATTATTATTATTATTACTATTATTATTATTACTACTACTACTACTACTACTACTATTGTTATTATTATTATTATGGATCATCGCACAGTCAGCCAGATGTTCAGACTGGATTTGGCATTTTGTCTACCTATCGAGTCCTTACCCAGGACCTGGGATAGGCAGATGTGGATGTTTGATGGTATTACAGATATCGTCGCAGGATGGAAGCAGTTCCCAGTAAGGCCGCCTTTTGCAATTGACTAATAGCGAATTTGTCAATGCCAATGGTGTTCAAGTGGTGCTCCAGTTGTTTTGGGATTGCACCCAAGGAGCCTATGACTATTGGTACTACCCTTGCTTGCTTTTGCCACAGTCTTTCTATTTCTATTTGTAGGTCTTTGTATTTTGTTATCTTCTCCAGTTCTTTCTCTTCTATTCTGCTATCTCCAGGCACTGCCACGTCCACTATCCAGACTTTTTTGTCTTTCTTATCGACAATTGTTAAGTCTGGGGTGTTATGTTGCAGGTGCTTGTCTGTTTGAATTCTGAAGTCCCAGAGCAGTTTAATTTTATCATTTTCTATGACTTTCTCTATTTTATGATCCCACCAGTTTTTGCTTACAGGCAAATGATATTTTTTGCAGATCTTCCAATGCACCATTGTTGCTACTTTGTCATGCCGCTGCTTGTAATCAGTCTGTGCAATCTTCTTGCAACAGCTTACCAAGTGGTCCACTGTTTCTTCAGCTTCTTTGCATAGGCGGCACTTACTGTCTTTTGCTGTCTTCTCAATTTTGACTTTGTATGCATTTGTCCTTAAGGCTTGGTCTTGTGCAGCCAGAATTAGTCCCTCGGTCTCTTTCTTCAATTTTCCTGCTCTTAGCCATTGCCAGGTTTTATTATTATCTGCTTTCCCAGCTATTTTTTTCATGTATTGGCCATGTAGTGCTTTGTCTTCCCATGCCTCTATTCTGTTCTTCATTTGGTCTTTCTTGTAGGCCAGTTTGGTCTCTCCAGTAGTTAGTAAGCCTTCCTGATATACTAATTTCAGTGCATCTTCATCATTGTTCTTCAGATATTCTTCCAAAGCCATTTTTTTCTTCTTCAACCATCTGATGTACTTGTAGCATTCCACGCCCACCTATTTGCCTTGGTAGATAAAGTCTGTCAATGTCACTGCGTGGATGAAGGGCATGATTCATTGTAATTATTTTTCTGGTCTTCCTATCCATTGCTTTTAGTTCTGCTTGAGTCCAGTCCACTATTCCAGCTATGTACCTAATGACTGGGAATTGCCCAGGTGTTGATTGCCTTTATGATATTTCCTCCATTGAGTTTGGACTTTAAGATCTTCTTCACTCTCTTGATGTATTCACCTCTAATCTTTTTCTTGACTTCAGTGTGCTTGATGTTGTCACCTTGAAGGATACCCAAGTATTTGTAGTAATCTTCCTCATCCAGACTCTTAATGTTATTTTCGTGGGGCATTTTGATTCCTTCAGTTTTCACTACTTTTCCTTGTTTGATAGTAAGTGTGGCACATTTGTCCAAGCCAAACTCCATAACAATATCTTGGCTATATATACGGACAGTGTTGAGCAGCGATTCTATTTCAGATGATGTTTTTCCATACAGCTTCAGATCATCCATGTAAAGGAGATGGGATAGTCTGGTAGATGTTTTTGATGTTTGATAGCCATGTCCTGAGTTATTCAGTATTGTTGACAGAGGAAACAGTGCAATAACAAATAGTAATGGTGACAATGAATCTCCTTGAAATATTCCTCTCTTGATAGTAACCAGGACCGCATACTGCCGCATAGTTCCCAGAGACTGGTGAGATCCCACAGATTGGGCCTCCTTCAGGTCCCGTCGGCCAGACAATGTCGGCTGGCGGGCCCTCGGGGAAGGGCCTTTTCTGTGGTGGCTCCGACCTGGTGGAATCAACTTCCCCCCGAGATTCGAACTACTCCCACCTTGCCGGCCTTTAAGAAAGCCATTAAAACTCTCCTGTTCCGGCAGGCCTGGGGTTGATGCCCCCAGGGGGGCTGGGATACGATTGGGACATGCTGTATGAATGCACTTATTTTACTGTTTTATTGTTATATTTATTGTTTTAATTTTGTACGCCGCCCTGAGTCGTAGGGATTGGGCGGCATATAAATTTTATTAATAAATAAATAAATAAATAAATAAATAAATATTAACCTCTCCCAGTCTCTCACCATTGATCTGCAACTGTGTGTTCCATTGTGCCATCGATCTTTGCA